TATTATTAGTAATAATTTCTTATTAAGAAAATTATAATTTCAATTTTTATTTAATAGAAATAATTAAAACTATTTAATTATAAGGTATTATTTATAGAAATATTTAAATTTAGAAAGAAAATTATTGAAAAAAAAAAAAAATTTCTAATCATTTAATTATAATTAAATAAATTATATTTAAAACTGTGTATTAGTTTGGGGAAAAAGAAATCCATTATTTTTATATGAACTTCAGGACTTTATTTAACATGCTTCGGATTGTCCGATTTGGGTCAAATATGCACCATTTTGTTGTATGATTTGTTGACATTTTAAAGGTAACTTCAAAATGACTCTCTCATAGAAGTCCTGGTCTCTATTTGCAAAAAACTCTAGTAGTCGATTTTCACAATCCTCCCTAGACTCCAATTTTTTATCATTAAAAAAATTTTGCAATGCAAGAAAAAGATGATAATCGCTTGGTGCCAAGTCCGGACTGTATGGCGGATGCATTACAACTTCCCAACCAAGCTCCCGAAGTTTCTGGCGAGTCACTGTAGATGTGTAGATGGCCTAGCGTTGTCCTGGTGGAACACGACACCTCTCCTGTTGGCCAATTCTGGCCGTTTTTGGTCAATCGCTATCTTCAAACGGTCCAGTTGTTGACAGTAGAGATCAGAATTTAGCGTTTGGCCATATGAAAGCAACTCATAATAAATAATCCCCTTCCAGTCCCACCAAATGCATAACAAAACCTTCCTGGCCGTTTGAGGTGCTTCACCGCTCTTTGACCACGATCGTTTTCGCACAGGGTTATCGTATGTGATCCATTTCTCATCTCCAGTCACCATCCGTTTAAGAAATGGGTCTATCTCATTGCGTTTGGCCAAGGCCTCGCAGATGGAAATTCGATCCATCATGTTTTTTTCTGTTAATTGGTGTGGCACCCAAACATCGAGCTTCTTTTTGAATCCAGCTTTGTGTAAATGGTTTAAAACTGTTTTATGATCGATTTTTAGCTCCTGGGCGATGTTACGACTGCTAACATGCCGGTCAACTTCGATCATTTCTCCGATTTTATCGACATTTTCGACGACCGGCTTAACTGTGCGAGGTGCATCTTTAACATCAAAAATTCCTGAACGGAATCTACGAAACCAAAATTGCGCATAATTGGCTGTTACAGTATCGGAACCATAAACACCATTCACAATTTTAGCCGCCTGGCTTGCATTTTCGCCTTTGTCAAAGAAAAACTGTAAAATGTACCGAATTTTCTCTTTGTTCACTTCCATTTTTAACACGCTGTAACTCATAACTGAATGCACCAAACAAAAAACAGCAAAAGAATTTTTTTTACTGCGAAATGTCACCTTTCCAATGAGCATAAATTTGAAATTGTTTGATCGATACTTTACGAGAAATCTACCAGTGCAGCCATCTACCGAAAAAATAACTGATTTCTTTTTCCCCCAGCTATTATTATTGAAATTTTTAAAAATTTCACGATTTTGAAAACAAAAAAATCTTTTTTGACTTCTACTTAACTAATAAGGTAATTAATTAATAATTTTAATTTTTTAAATATGACAATGAAAAATTGCACAGATATGGTTCTAGCTGCGAACGTATTTACTGTCAAGCCGTATCAGTTGACAACTGAGAAAGTTTTTGGCGTGCGCTTTATGAAGGGTCGAGAAATCGCAAATGTATGCTGCGCGTGGAGGCGTGGAGGCCATCAAAAAATCTTGCAATCAATTCAAGAAACACACTGCTCTTTACAACGCTAGTATTCGCCATATTCGATTGCTCTTATGACGGAACGTCAGTAACTGTCCAACTGAAGCAATTATCGATCGATAGGTTGTATCGCTGTAATGTGCGATTTGGAAAAAGTTCTTTTAACTTTTTTTGACCGTATTTTATAGATTAACTGTAAAGAGATAAATAAATTCTTGAAAAGCACAAATGAATTTTCTTCCTGGACTTTATATGTCTTTTCTAATGATATTTGGCAATTAGACAACATTTCAACTTTTCAACATTTGTTGTTTGCTTTCGGTCTAGACAAAAAAACCATTAATTAATTATACGAATGTTAGTAGAGAGAAAAAGTAAAGAGTTTAAAAGAGAGTAAATGTTTTTGTAATAACGGAACACAAATATTTGTGATTGTTTTCTTCTTTTTTTTTTTCTCCTAAAAGCGTTTCAATTATCATATGTTGCCATTTCATTGTACAATATGTATGTAGTATAGATATTATATCAGAAACGTGTGTGGTGTCCGCCCTATCGCAATCTTGTTGTAGCGATCCTTATCGAACGTTGTTGTATTCAAAAATTAATACCTCATAGCATCATCGATTTTTTTCATCAACCGGTTTAAGGAATGCTTTTAAATAAACATATATTTTTAATTATTATTAAGTATAACAACAAAAATTGTTTATTGAATTTTTTTTAATCTCTCGCACATATATTCGCTTGCTCTCTGTTCAAAAAATCAAAGATAATTTAGTCAAAAAAATGTTTTTCTTCATAAATTATTTTATTTAATGATAAAACAAAAAAAAAAAAAAAAAAAGTCAAGAGACACCTTTAACTATTAAAAGAGTTTGTTGCCCTTTACCTATCGGGTAATAAAAACTTTTGATCGCAGACAATTGGCGTCAAATATTTAATATCCAAGTATTATGTATTATGTATATTAGAGGGATAACGTATTATTTTATTCGTTAGTAAATGAACGGAAATCAGCAATTTTTTATTTATGGTCTTTCACGTGGCAGTCCGCTTAATTACCTTTTACTTGTGTTGAGGTTATGGCGTAATATTCTAGTTCTACTTTCTTATCAATTTTTAAATATTCAATTTCAAAACTTGACATTTAATCATCGACACGCATGCGATCAGTTTAAGTTTTTAAAAACTATGTAAATTTCTGGTAAAAAGTAATGTTGACCCATGTCTCCTGACTTTGTAATTTTAATGGTATTAAAAATAGGTTACTTCCAATATCATTGCACCTTGTGTAAAGTACTTCCACCTTTGAGATAAGTGTACATTGGGAATTTTCTTCCTCTTCTTCGTTTCTTACAACGTATATCACTTGTGGTGCAAGGATATACGAGCTTGTGAGCTTGTGCGGATCGTTGTATTATTATTATTATTATTATTTTAATTTTAGACTAATGAAATGAATTCTTAGACTAAAAAAAAGACATTGAGCACTAGCAACACAGGCTATCGGCTCTAATTTAAATAAATGGATATTAGATAATAAGCTTAGTAGTATTAATAAAGTAAAATATTGAATTGATATTCTGTTCTGAAGTTGATTGTAGAATGTTCAAAGGGTTAATCGTTCCAAATGCAATACTTCTAGCCAAGGAAAAGTTGAGGCAGTCGCAGAGAATGTGCTTTATAGTAAGAGTTTGTCCACAACAGCAGATTGGGGGAGAAGACTTCTTCAGGATCGATTGGTGAGTTGCAATTGTATGACCAAGGCGAATTCTCGAAAATGACTGGATCTTGGTTTTCTCAACATTTGTTGGATATAGAGGTGGAGTTAATTGAGGGTTAATGCAAGAGTAGTGTTGATGATGGTATTGTAAATTTCCTTCTGCAATTTTCTCTTTAACTTTTCTTAAAAAAGGAAAGGTTAAAATAAGGACAAACTAGTGAAATATTTTACAAAAAAATATGTAGACAATGAAATCTCCGATAAATACCAGAAATATTTATTAGTAAAGTCCCACAAGTTTAACTTAAATTTGTTTGCTGAGTGAAAAAATTTGAAATCAATTTATAACTGTCGAGTCGATGAATACCGAGTTTGAATGAAAGTTCATCTAACTATAAAATTGTGATCCAAAAGCGTATTCAAAGAGAAAAAGGGCCGAATACCCTTACAAAATGGATATATTTGATGCTATTAATGTATATAAAGACTTATGTATGTAAAGACTTATCTTGTTAACAACAATTAAAAAAAAAAGTAATAAAATGAGCTTAGTAGTATTAATAAAGTAATGTATAGAATTGATATTCTTGTCTTTTTCTTTTGTAAAAATGTATACATCGTCCGCGTAGAGACAACGTTCCACTCTTGGTACACGGCAAAGCATTTTGCTAATTTCGTTGAAAGCGATCTGGAAAAGCGTGACAGAGAGACGAGATCCTTGCGGAATGCCATTCTTTAGCGGAAAGGATTCAGAAAGATGATTGTTGATTCTAACTTTGAACCGCCGATGCGACATGAATGATTTGATGTAGTTGAAGAATTTGGGTCCAACATTCCATGATTTCAAGAGTCTTAAGATAACATGAAGACCAACTCTGTCAAATGCTTTTTCGAAATCAATTGAGAGAATTGTTACGTGATTTCGTTCGGAAATTGCTTTGCATGTGAAATAATCAATATGTAACAGAGCGTCGATGCACCCTCTACCCCGCTTGAAACCAACTTGTTGCTTTGTTATCAGGTTCTTGGACTCAAGAAACAAAGATAATCTAGATGCCATAATCTTCTCTAATGCCTTAGAGAGGCAAGATAAAAGAGAAATTGGGCGATAATCTGATGCGATGGAGACATTTTTTGACTTTGGAATTGGAACAACTGTTGCCAGTTTCCACATGTAGGGTATATGGCCAGTCATAAATACCGTATTATATAGGTCCAGTAATTTCTTTTTACTAGACTTAGACATAGCACTGATCATTTGGTATGAGATGCGGTCTAGACCAGGTGTCTTCCCCTTCAAATTGGAGAGACAACTTCCAAGTTCTGAGGTAGATACGCAATTTTCCAGGAACATGGCACATCTATCGATATTATTTGAAAGAGATATTTGAGTCCTTTTATTTTCGATGAAAGCACTGGAGAAGTTGCTGTCAGAGGAGTATTCGCACCACACTTTTCCAAAGTAATTAGAAATCTCATCTGCGTCAGTTAAAGTTCCATTGGGAGTGCAGATGGCAGAAATTTCGTTCAGGTTTGAAGTCCCATTAAGTCTGTTGATTTTGTTCCAGACAACTTTCATTGATGTATTTCTGTGAATTCGTCTCGAGAAAAGTTCGAAACTAAGTGCCTTTGATTTCCGTAATTCCTTCCTGAATAGAGCATTGGCCTTTTTGTATAATAACAAGTGATTCTGATTAGGACATCTCTTAAAGCGGTGCCATAGATCCATTTTATTTTTCCTCAAAAACGAAAGCGTGTTGTTCCACCAAGGAACCCTAGCTCGTTTAAAAGAGGTGTTGGATTGAGGAATAGAAAGATGAGCAGCCGTGCGAATCGCTTTAGACATAATAGCAGCATCATGGTTGCAGTTCCCGTTAAAAGGCTTTGAATTCAAAAATGACTTCACCTGTTTGGAGTAATTGATCCAATCCACTTTATCTAGGAGGAATTTGGCCTGTTTTGCTGGAGTAGCATAGGACGTTGAAAGTTTAAGATCGATTATGATTGGAAAGTGATCACTATTATGTAAATCATCAGAAATAGAAAAGGAAACTAAAGGAAGAAGTGAGGGAGAGCAACATGTTAAATCAATATGTGAAAAAGTATGATGAGTTGAGAAGTGCGTTGGTTTTCCATCATTTAAAACGCAAAGGTTGCTTTGAAAAACGGCCTTTTCTAAAACAGTACCGCGAGTGTTGTTCACTGTTGAGCCCCAGATATTATTCCAGCTGTTGAAATCGCCGCATATAATTAATGGGGGGGGGGGGGGGGAAGTACAGAGAATAAATTGTAGAGTTCTTGCTGAGAAAACGATTGCGAAGGTGGAATATAGAGCGAAAGCACTGTAAATTTTATATTTAACATTATTTGTATCGCTACGGCTTGTATATTTGAGCTTAAATTTATGCGTTTGTGATGTATATTTGATTTTATAAAAACACCTACTCCTTGTTTGGAATATGAATTTTGATCAGCATTCGTGAAGTATCCAGTATATGATTTGGGTGGAATAGGATTAAAAGAGCTTCTACAATGGGTTTCTTGAAGCGATAAAAAGTTTGGATTAAAATTACTTATGTGTGTACGGAGTTCATCAAAATTATTAATAAGTCCCTTAATGTTCCATTGTAGAATTTTAAAAACTTTATTTAATTGTAATGACATGTAAGCAGAGTGGGGGGAGGGTTAAGTTGACATGTCAGCGTCTCCGTCGCGAAGGTCGCTATAGGAATTTTTCGTGAGTGATTTATTCTTACCAGCAGAATAATCTGTACTTAGGTGATTTGGTACATTTGAAGCGTAACGAGTTGGCGCACGTGAGTAATTTGAAATTGAAGGTTGATTAATGGATGAAAGAATGGATTCATTACCACTTGTGATTTGTTGAGTAAAGTTGAGAGCTGGGGATTCTGGAGAATTTGGTATATTAGATTTTAGCATATGTGTTGTTGTTTTAATTTTTTCAATATTATCTTTGGCGGGTGATGTAACTGGTTTCGCAATATAATTTTTGGTTAATGGTGTAACAGGTTTTTCATTGGAAGCAGTTGGAGTTAAAGTCTTACTAGGCTCGATTTGCGAGGCAACAGCAGTGTAGGTATTACTTTTTCCAATTCCTTGGGCTATAGATGGATTTCTTTCCCGGTATGTGCGTCGCGCTTCGCCCATGCTACAATAATTTTCTGTTTTGAATTTTAGAATTTGACGCATTTGTATAAAACGTGGGCATTGTTTGTCTAACGCCGAGTGTTGATCGTTGCAATTTAAGCAGAAGTTACGCGTACAGTTTTCAGGATGTGGAGGAAGACCACAGTTAGCACAGGATGGAGGACTGGTGCATGGTGCTTTTGCCGTATGACCCAGGCGCTGGCAGTTTTTACACCTCATAGAATTTGGAATGTAGAGTTCTGCTTTACATTTATACCAAGCTACATCAACAGTTGGCAGTAGCCGATAGTGGTCAAAAGTCAAAATAATCCTTGCTGTAGAGGAGCGAGTTTCTCCATCGTCATTTAATCTGGTGAATTTATAGTCTTTAGTCACTTCTGCCCATTTCGAGAACAATTTCATCTTCCGACACATGTTTTAAGCATGTGGCATAAATTATACCTTTAACCGAGTTCAGTTTGTCATGCAGTTTAGCGGAAATAGCACATAAATTAGCTAATGATGTCGATTTTATGAGGTTTTCGGTTGCGCAACACCGGAAAGTCCGAATTCTTAATTTTTTTTCTCTGGGAGGATACGCTCGCTAATAGATGAAATCTATTTGAATTTTTATCTGGCGGCACCGGGGCCATTATGCCTTATGGTTGCCTATTATTTAGTAATTTGTGAAATAACCACTCACTTGAAAAGGTTTTGGAACTACTGAGGAGAATGTCACTTGTCACACGCGAATGCCACTATGTAAGACGCAGTGAATGTATGCCTAATTAACTGCGGAGAACAGTTGTTAATTCAATTTAGACTACGACATCGTGATTATAGTATTAATATACGCTTTGAATTTGTAATTTGAAAAAGAAAATTAAATAAAAAGGTATGATTTCGATATTCGCTGGGTCAGAAAATTTAAGATAATGCCAATGGAATGCCGGTTGAACAAAACTAATGAATGTTAACGTCATACAGTGTACATTTATCGCACTATTTTCATATGGCTTTTGTTTTGTAAACATCATTATATTTGTGAAAAACAAATCGAAGAACAATTCTTTGTTATGGAGTTGAGAAAAAAAAAATAATAAACCTCCTTGTTTTTTGAATACCTTAGTTAAACCAGTTACAAATATGTTTAAATGAATTTAACAGAAGGAACGTAGAAAAATAAAACAATTGAGGATTTTTTAGGGCTTTTTTTTACAACGTTGATATACATAGTATGTTAAATAGCATTGTTTCAAAACAAAATTTTACATCTCAGAATAAACGATAAGAGATTGTTCGTCATCTTCTTTTACTTCGCGACATTTTGTACAAATTTTTGAAAACGTTAAATTATAAATAATAATATAGTGCAAATATTTTATCTTTCTGCAATCGGTTTAAAGAAAGCTAAAAATCATGGCACCGGAAACATCTCAAAAATATGATAAAATTGTCGGCGAATCGATGAAAGATAAACCAGTGACGGATTTGGCGGGAATTGGCGATGTCTTAGGGGGCCACTTGACGAAAGCAGGGTTTGATAAGGTACTTGTAAAAAATGTCAACAGTACGAACATGTTTGAATGATAGCGTTATCTAAATATGTTGCTCATGTTTGACGGAAGTTTTCATTTTACGCAGATGAAACATTTTTGCTTGAATTCCAATTATTTTTTCTTGTAGGCTTACACTGTATTGGGGCAGTATTTAGTTCTAAAAAAGAACGCGGAATTGTTTAAAAAATGGATGAAAGACACATGTAATGTTAACGCCAAACAGGCTGGCGATTGCTACAATTGTCTTAATGGTTGGTGCGAAGAATTTTTGTAATAAGGAATGCATTTTTGTTATAAACTTTTCTACTTATTCCAACATAATAGTTTTAATACATTCGATACTATCGATTTAATATGATTTTGTCTTGCGACGTTTATCTGTATATGTTGAAAATAGAAAATATATTAATAAAAGTGCATTTTTAGAAACAACCCGTACTAATGTTATCTCTACCAGGTTTCTTTGCATAAATATTTATTATTAACTTTGATATTAAATATAATTCAATCTGTGATACGATTACCAGGCAATAGAATTTAAAATATACAGCATATTAAATATCGCATACATTAAAGTGTATTTTTATTTTTGGATTATATCACTTTGGAGGGAGACGCAACTATTAGAGATTAATTTGAGATTAATTTATTAGAGATTAAATGGATTTAACAGGTAAAATTATCAATTATATATAGAAGATATATGACTTTAGGCTTTCAAGTTTTGTGATTTGAAGAAGCAAACGCGAAAGCATAAGAAGTATAACGATCCATGTACACATTCGTTTTTCTTGATCGCTACGATAAAGTCTTCCGTAATTATAAAATAAAATTAAAAGGTCAAAACAATCCGATCAGAATTAGTAAGAACATTTTTTATAAACAAATTCGACAAATAAGATGATATCTAGTTCGTCTGTGCATAAAAGATTCCAACCGGTACTCTCCAGTACTTGGGTTTTTTCATCTATTAGATTTCTGAAGAAGTAATTTGGAGTATCTTCTTTCTTGTGCATTGACGGCGAAATGTCAAACGAGCAGTCTTTCAACATCCATCGAGGTTTAACACCAATATAGTGGGAAATTTTTAATGGAATGTCCAATTTTTTTTGCGGCGTGCAAACAATAGTCAATTGCAGATGGTGACTTTCGAATTTAATTTATTGATTAGTCATTTTCCGTCAAGAAATTCGAGAAAATTACTGACAACTTCCTATTTATATCGGGATACGACAATCTTTTGATTTAAATCTTATCAAATTTATCGAGTTTTATATAAATTCAATCAATGTTCTTTACTTAAAAAAAGCATTTTTAATATAATTAAGTCCTAAACGCAAGTAAAGGCAGCCTAATCAGTCCAGCAGAAAGACCCCTATATCAAATAAATAAAATCAGTATTCATTCGCTTGCATGGTGAAGAAAAGAATTCAACTGAGTTTAAAAAAGAAATTGCGATAATAAAGTCAAATGGAAAAAATTATGTTAATTGCTAGCCATTAGAAAAAGTTTTTATATCTGTGCCTGAATTTCGATTTGTCGACAAAGTTTTGTTTTTACCTGTCTTTACATGTGTGTGCGTGTGTGTGTGTGTGTGTGTGTGTGTGTGTGTGCGTGTGTATGTGTTAAGCGGATTAAAATCGCATTCCATGAAACTATGTGACTCTTTCTATATTCTCAAGCTTATCGACCAGAGACGACCATAACTTGGAGGGGCAATGGGAGAAAAGTCAAAATATACTGGTCTTCTCTTACATCGATTGTAAATCGAATCAAAAGACAATTATTGGGAAATAGAAAAAAACAGGCAACAGGATTCCAGACAATGTTTACTAATGCTATTAATTAGAGTAAGCCCTTATGATTGCATTTGCTTCCATAATAATATAATAAACTTTGCATTTATTTGCAGAACGAGTGTTTTTACTCGGCGAGTTAATCAAATTGTGACAATTATTTGATTTCTATATATAAGCTTTTGCATCGAGACAGATGTGTAAATCGAAATGATTAAATTGACCAAGAGTCTGAAGGTGATTAAGGCAATGTACTTATCAAAGGATCTTTGCTGCGTATTTCGCAATCAAATGATAAACTCGATGCTAACTAACGAAGCTGATAAAATGTGATCACAAAAAGTATTCTTCCAGTATAAATTCCTGTTGGCATCATGATGGTTCATTTTATTGTCGGCAATAACAGCAAATTGCTATCATTGTTCTATAGATTGTTTATTACTTGTTTTTATGCTAATTTTTTGTTTTTCCATTTTTCGTTTTCTTTAACAATATATATATATATATATATATATACATATATATATAATAATAATAATAATAGTACTAACCGTTTCCCCTCGAAACGTAGAAATTTCATCCGCATATGCAATTAGAAAAACCGGTAGTTGGAGCAAATACAAAAGCTAAAAATTCTCTATTTTGCTTATAGAAAACTGAACGCTTATATGTTGTTGCCCCTTACTGGGGAGTGCAATGATGCTATGTTGCGGCAATTAGCACAACACGTAGAAGGAGATTAAACATAATCCCCTCACGGCAGCTTAGCAATATGATGTAGTTAATGATACCGATAGACAAGCAAAGTTTATAAACATATTAATAGTAATGTGATTAATTACGATTTGTTTTTTTTTTCTATAAAATCTTAACTAATCTAATATATTAAACCAATAACAGCTGCTGGCCATGATAATGGCATGCTTTGCTTCAATTTGAAGCCTTAATAATATTGTTTGAATAATCTTATGTTATAATTTCTACAGTTAATTGATTTATACGTTTTTGTTTTTCAACTTTTTTTTTTTTTTGTTTTTTGTTAACATTTTCGTTGACTATATTAATTAATTAATAGAGATTAATAAACACAAGTGGTTGAAGGTACCCATATATAACATAAGTCATATTAACCTAAAAATGATAAATGTAAATCTATGAATGAAATCGGTAGACTAGCGATTTGTATATAACGTAAACGAAAGGGCAGTTTGGCTTAGATTAAAGTGTTGTAAGTGTAGGTTTGAATTTTCTTTTCTTTTTTTTTTTGTTTTTTTTTGGTATTCATTTCAGTTTTTCTTATATAGGCATCTATATATGCGAGATAATTCGACAAGTTTCTCCTTACTACACATATATATATATATATATATATGTACATACATATATAGTTTTCTTTTTTTGTAACTCTGTAAACCGCTTGTAATCTTTTTTTTTTTTTTTTTTTTTTTTTTTTTTTTTTTTTTTTTTTTTGAATTTACGCAATAGTTTAAACTCTGACAGAGATCATGTTATTATCATTATTTTTTTCTAATTTCATGTTTATGTAAAACGTGCATAAGCTTTGATTTGTATAAATCTCCAATCAACTGGCATCATATGCAATTAATCAAACGCCTACATGGAAATTTTTATGAGATTTTTAGGCTTTTTTTTTTTTTCCTTAATAATATATCGCGGCTTTCTGGACAGCGGTATAAGATAAATGATTATGTTAACTAGCGCAATATGCTGGCAACACTTTAAAGTATTTATCAAAAGCGAAAATTATGTTGAATAAGCTGCGCCGATCCAAGTGTTTGTTATCAGAATACATATCCAAATTTTGAAAAATGTGGAACGAAAATTATAATTCTCCATAAATACTCTATTAGTTACTCAATACATTTGAAATGGATGTCAACACTTATCCGAAAGCGTCAACAGAATCAAGATTTATTTTCTTTTCCATCCTTCTCGATAACGTATATGCTTACATAGCTAACACTGTAAAATGAAAAATAGGCTTACAGATGGAAAGGCCTTTAATCACCAAATCAGGCCTTTTCCTTTCACCTAAAGAGATTCTTTCAATCTTTTATTCTAAGCTGGTAATAAATCTTTTATTTAATTGCTTTTAATTTATTCCTTAAATCTCTCTGTCTCTCTCTCTCTCTCTCGTTCTGATTCATGCTGTAAACGATAGTTTAAGTTTTTTACTTACTAAAAATACTCAAACTTTTTGAATTTATTACAAAAAAAAAAAAAAAAGAGAAAGATTCTACAGTTGCAGATTTTCAAGGACATAAGAAAACTTTTTCTAGCTTTTGGTAAGAAAACATAGACGTCGTAAGTCCTTGCAGAGCTTTCATTTGGCTTTATTCAACGTACGGTTATGGGCCGCAATTTTGGACTTTTCAAGTTTTGAGGTGAGCCAGAGACCATTTGTTTTTAAAAAAATGGATTTACAAAGAAATTTGTTCATTGTAAGTCACTCAAAAGCCGATCTTAGGCTAAAAGGCGCAATGTCTCAATGCCCAATGCTCTCTTTTTAATGCTATAATTATAACCCCAAGACAATCGCACGGGAATTGCAGATGCCAACGGTATGGTAAGCTTGAAAAACATGATTTCTAACAGAGGGCGCTTTAAGTTTTAATTTTAAGGAAACCTTCAGTTCACCTTTAGGTTTTGAATTTTCTTTATATTTTATATATTTTTTTTATAACCGGTTGCCAAGTAATATAAACCTGAAATTTTTCACCCCTTCAATTTCCGGAAGCATTTCAGTCAATAAAAAAAAAAAAAATACATGTTTAAGGATATTACTGCTTATAGTAAGGACAGCTTCTTAAGAGCATCAGACAACAATACTTGCAGGTGTTCCATATATATGCATATAGGTATATATATGTATATAGGTATATATATGTATATATATATATATTTTTTTTTACATTAAGTTTCTTGGAAAGATTTGTGCGAGCTATGTTAGTGGATGACGAGACATCCAGTTGACTTGTAGATCAATATAGTATGTCAAGTGACATTTCTTAGCCTATGGAAGCGTTTTGCTTTTCCATAAAATTGTCGGCATAAGTACGCAGTAAATGTCTAGAAGCCGTTCATATCTAAAGTTATAGTTTTCCGATTTTGTTGTATTAAATTTTATAGTCGGAGAATTATTTTGTACAAATTATGGCATTCACTTTTAATCGCTTCAAAATGCCGATCGAGACCTGCTTATAAGTTAATCAAGTTATACATTGTTGCCTTCTTTCATTTACTTTATCTGTTAGTTGCCTAAATCATTGCTTGTTTCATTTACTTGTCGCGTTACCAACGTCCAACGGTTACCATATATATCTTCCCAATTGCCTCTTTATTCAGTCAATTCTTCTCCATGCCAAGTGCTCATCCCACGTTCCTTCTATTCCTCGATACGTGCATTTTTTCTTCTGTCTATCTTTTCCTCCACTTGCCGCTTCGTCCAGCTGCTCTT